GTTTTTTTTTTTTTTTTTTTTTTTTTTTTTTTTTTTTTGCCTACCAGGGATCAAACTCAGGCCCTTGTGCTTGCAGGGCAAGCGGTGAAACCACTGAGCTAAATCCCTGGCCCCCGATTTTTAAAAAAATCCCTTTTAAGTTCTAGAGCAGGCTGACTGTGAAGTGTGTACCTGGTGCAGCCCAGGAAGGAAGTGACCCAGCCAGATAGAGCACTTTCTGAGTGTGGGGCGCAGCGTCTCAGGGACCCTCACAAGAGCACATCTACCTTTCCCATGAGTGCTGGGTGGCAGGATTTGGGTACAATCATGGCTATTCCTGCTGCAGTCTTGCCTTTCTAAGAGACTTTTAAAACATCTCTTTGGAGATAAGCTTTCCTATCGTAGCCTCTTCAGGCTACTGTAACAAAATACCAGAGCTGGGTATCTTCTCTTCCATAGTTGGAGGCTGGAGAGAGAGCAAGATCAAGACGCTGATAGATTGGGTGCCTGGCAAGGAGCTGTACTGTCACTGTAATGTCCAGGGAAGGAGGGATGGGGGTCTCCATTCTTCACGACTGAATCACCCTCAAAGGGCCCACAGCCTACTCTTCCCGCCTAGGGAGGGGTTGGGATGAGGGTTTCAACATCCAAGTTTCAGAGGGACATAAACTTTCAATCCCTAACATCTGGCATCCTCCATTTCCATCTCTAGTGTTTGCTGCTGTTGAAAAGAATCACACACCCTTCTGTGAGTTTCTCCTTTAGTATCTGAGCACAGAAGCGCCGCACTTAGCCAAACTGTGATTGCCACCATTTTATAGGCCAGCAGTGGTGTCCTACAGCACACGTACCATAGTGGGCACACACAGCTGTCCACTGGCACGCAAGCAAGGTCGCCCCACACCTTGAAAATGGGCGGCTGAAATATTGTCCAAATCTAAAATACTGTGGGCAAACTACTTTTAGGGTCCCCTCCTGTCTCGGGAGCTGTCTCTCAAAATGTCCTACTCTTTAAAAAAAAGAAGCATTTAGAAAATCCATTTTCAGACAAACCTACAAGCCATCAGGAAATCTGCAAGGACATTTCTAGCATTGTAGCAGCTGAAAAGGGGAATTTTAGTGACAAGATGGAGACAGCCCTGTGTTGTCCTCTCCAGACAAAGCCAAATTTGAAGAGCCTGACCTTTCCTGCTTGCACTGGTTACATTTTGAAAATCTGGAAATGGAGCTATTTGAATTTCAAGAAAGTCCTATCTGGAAAAATCTATGACCTGTGTGTAACACTTGAAGATAGAAAAAGATAAAAGGGTGAGAGGGAGGACAAAGAATTGCACGATGGGTAGTTCTGAAAATGAAACCCTTAGTGCGGAATTCTCTGCCACACAATTTTAAGTCCACGAAAGCACTTGGGATTGCTTTTCTTACCTTGTTTGGATCATCTAATGCGTGTGCTCTGAGTTGTTCTGCTATGAACATGTCTGTGCGTCTGTCACTACAGTGATGGCTTTAACTTTCTTGGGGAAGTTACCTAGAAGGGGATAGCCAGGTCGAATGGAATTTCTAATTTTAGATTTTTGAGAAATTTCCATACTGCTTTCATAATGGTCGTCATATTTTCCATTCCCACTAACAATGTACATGCACTTCTTTTTCTCTACAGCCTCACCAGCATTTGTTATTGTTTGGTTTCCCAAAGATAGCCACTCTTTCTGGAGTAAGACGGAATCTGTGTTGTTTTCTTTAATGGCCAGAGATGTTGAACATTTTTTCCATGTATTTATTTTTTCCATGTATTTCTTCTGAGAAGTGTCTATTCATTTTACTTGTCCATTTTTTGAGTAGGTCTTTATCTTGCGAGGTCTAATATTTTTTGTTTGTTTGGAGACAGGGTCTCACTATGTAGTTGAGACTGACCTGGAACTCACTGTGTAGTCCAGGCTGGTCTCGAACTCACAGTGATCCTCTTGCCTCAGCCTCCCGAGTGCTGGGATTACAGGTGTGCGCCACCACGCCCGACCAGGTCTAATATTTTTGAGTCCTTCCTGTAGTCTAGATATTAGTCCTCTGAAGATAGATGGCAATACCCCCACCCCATTCTGTACGTTGTCTTTTCCTTCTGTTAGTGGTTTCCTTTGCTGTGGAGTAGGATTTGTTGATTGTGGATGGGTGCTGTTCAGAAAGTCTTATATCTTCTAGCAGATTGTTTTAATATTTAGATCTTTGATCCAGTTTGACTTTAGTTTATGTAGTATGTGGTAAGAGATGTGCCTAGATTCAGTCTTCTGCATGTGGATAGCCAGTTTTCCCAGCAACATTTATTAAAAAGATGGTCTTTCCTCCAGAGTGTTTTTGGCCCCTTTGGCAAAGATCAGATAGCTCAATGCGTCTTAGTTGAGGGGTCGAGACAGATTTTCAGATCCTGTGTGAGAATGTGCTGGCTTCACCTGAAACTCACTGAGTTGGTGTGATCCAAGTAGAAGTAAAAATATCTTTGAAATTGGACACACATGGTGATAGTAGCCCATTTAACAGAAGTTCAAGGTATAATATGTACATAGAATGCATAGGTATTATGTGTGCCACTTAAGTTTCGAAACTTGTACATAAATAACCCATGATCTAATCAAGGTAGAGAACATTTCTATCACTCCCTCCTGGAAATTCTTGCACATTTCTGGCTAATTCTTGCCCCACACTTCCCTGCGAACTAACTGTGCCAGTTTCCGAACTCCCGCGTATTCACTCAGCATGAGGTGTTCTTCTGTGTTGCCATACAGCTCAGTAGTTCATTCCGGTTTAATGTCGCAGAATCCTGCTGCGTGAAAATGTCATAACCTATCCATTTTTCCACTGACGGACAATTTGAGTTGTTTCTGGTTTAAGGCTATCGTGAATAAAAGTTATGAACATTTGAGCACAAGTATTTTTTTGTTTGTTTTTTGGTACTGGGTATCAAACTCGGGCCTTTGTGCTTGCAAGGCAGGCGGCGGCACCACTTGGCCAAACCCCTGGCCCAAGCACAAGTATTTTTTGTGGTCATCAATTTCCACTCTTAAATTTCTTAAGAAACAGTTTTCCAAAGTGATTGCAGCGTTTTACATTTCCACTAGCAATGTACAAAAGTTCTGGGCATTTCCTTTTTCTTTTTCCTTTCTTTTTTTTTTTTTTGTACCAGGGATCGAACTCAGGTCCCTGGACTCACAAGGCAGGCATTGGAACCACTGCGGTAAATCCCCAGCCTTCTTTTCTTTATTTTTGGTACAGGGGCTCAAACTTATGACCTTATGCTTGCAAAGCAGGCAGCAGCACCACTGAGCTAAATCCACGGCCCCTAGGGCATTTTCTTGACATTTAGCATTGTCAAAGTTTTAGGTCCTTTCGTTAGGTATATAGACTTCTCACTTCAAGTTAGGCGAATTTCTTTAAATTTTCAATGTACTTGCACAATCACATTGTGCTCAAATATTCATTCTCACAGTTCAAATCACGGTCACAGAATAGTTAATCTTTTCAACCCAGGCGTAACAGTTCTTTGCAGTTGGGGAGTTTACCTTTAAGATTCGCCTAGTTATCTATTCTAGTCCATAGGAAGGGGGTGTTCAGGGTCAGGGGAGCAAAAGTTAGCAATGGGTTCTTTCATTTAGACACTTTTACGATCAGGAGGCTCAAGTCTCATCAGAGCTCAAGACCTTGACTGTTATGTCAGGGTCAGACCAAATGCCTCATTCAGCAATTAGTGCCATTGGTATCTATTAGTTTGAACTAAACAAAACAAACTGCTGTTAGAGATAGCAGAAGTCATTTTACATTGTAACACTTTATAGGTTTTGCTATTTATAAAAGTTTTCCCTATCAACTACAGGCTGGGTATGTGGTACACACCTGTAATGCCAGCACTAGAGAGGCTGAGGCAGGAGGATCTCTATAAGTTTTGTTCCAGCCTGAAGTACACAGTGAGAACCTATCTTAGGAAA